TTTAGTATTGAATAATAATAAATAAATAGAGGAAATAAAAAAATGAAAATAAAAAGAAAAGAATAGTATATCAAAATGCACGCGTTTTCCTATGACGTTTCAACTCCACTTCATTTCAGATCTCTCTCTTTCTCGCGATTACCGGCGAATTCGTCGTCGCCTTCACCTTCGAGCCTTCATTGAACTGCCTCTACCTGAGATTTCCATACACCAACCCTAACTCAAATCTCAAACTTGTTTTCCTTGATTCCTCGTAGATCTTCCTTATTCTTACATTATAGCAAAACCTTAGGTTTAACTAAAATAAAAATTAAATGCTCATCGAGAAATGTTCGGCCATTGGGGGGAATATTCATGAGGCCTCGATCTTCACAGTGCTACAAAGAATGATCTAAAAGAAACTAATTCGTGCCTACCTCATGACGGAGATGGAGAATAAATTGCTCTGATGAAGGTCTAAACGTACGGGTATTTCTTCTTGTCACTTTTCTCGCTCCTACTATTTCTTCCTCTTACTTCTCATTCTTCTACTTTCAATTTCTGGTTTTTTATGATGCGATCTGAGAAATTTTCTTTCTGCCTTTCCCGCTTTATTGATTCGTTGAGGAGATAAAGATCTTGAAGGTACGAAGTTGAAGATGATTGAAGAAAATCGAAGTAACAGATGAAGTTGTAACAGGTTATGGTGATTGAAGGTTCTTGAGATATGAAGATCGAATTTTATCCTATGTTTGAAGGTTGGAGGTGCTTGATAGATGAAGAAGATGTAGAGATGTGGTTGATAATTATGCTGTAGTTCAGAGAGAACCTGAAAGTGAGTTTTTGATTTTCTGTGTTCTTGTGAAGAATGAATCGTGAATCTCCTTCCCTTTGTTATCTTCTGTTAGGAAAACTATTGGGAAGTTTTTTAGAGGGTGAGTTAGAGGGTTGCTAAAATGGTTAGCTTGGATCTGTTTTTTGTTAGGAAGTCAGTTTTGGAGGAAGTTTGTTAATTGTTAGTTAGAAACTTGGGAATTCGGTTAGGATTCTGTTATGGGTTGGAATTTGATGAGCTAGCATCTGTTTTGTTAGTTGTTAGTATGAGTTAGGAAGGTAGAAATTCTGCTAGAGTTAGTTGGTTAGTGAGGTTAGAAGGAGTTAGAATTCTTTCTGTTATGATTATCTGGAAAATCAGTTAGATATTAGTTATAGAAATTGGTTAGCTACCCGTTAAAGTTTTGTTTTTCTGTGAGCTCTCTATTTCCCTGTTATAATCTGTTAAAAACAATTATGAAAGTCGTTAGTTCGGTTTCAGTGATTCTGTTATTGAATCAGTTGTTAGTTGTGATTAGGAATTTAGGAATTCTATTACTTAGGTGGTTATGAAAAGTTGTTTGTTATTTTTTTTCTTCTGTATAAGTCTATTGGTTGTTTGTTATGGCAGTTAGGATGAGCTAGTCATTTCTGTTAGGACAGTTTGTTAACTATTATGGTTTTGTTTGGTAATGGTTGATTCAGTTCTGATTTTTTTGTGATGCTGATTTGTTATGCAGGTTGCTTGGCTTGGACATTCTATTTATTTTTTTGGACTGTGTTATGGTAGAAATGAGCTGGTCGAAACAATGTTGAGTTGATTAGCCGTGAATTTGGATGAGGCATGAAGATTGATTATGAAGAACACGCGAATGGTTATGAAGATTGGAAAATGTAATGCTTAAATCCTTAGGTTTAGGATACATAGACTTTGAGTATTTCAATGTGAATTTTGATGAGTATTTTTGTAATGGAATGGTTAAATTAACAATAGTGCATTTGGACTAACTTTGTAATGGAAATATGGTTTTCGAATGGTAGATTGAAATGGTTCTGGATTATTTCTAACGTGTGAATGGAATTACGATCAAAACTTAGAATGCAACATGGTGAACTTAGATGAACCATGATATTCTGAACAACTTGAAATTGCATTGTGTTTTTCTTCCAACCGAAAATTTGAATATGTATGATGATGTATTGGATATTTGAAGTCATGGTGCTTTGATCTAAAAAATCATGTCTCATGAATCTTCAAACTCATGTGATACTTGTTTCAAAAGATTCAACGTTATTTTCCTTTCCAAGTTTAGGACTTGAATTCTCAACTTCCTTTGATTTTGCACCCATATATGAATCATTATGTCAAGCTTGAGAAGGAACCTTTGGACATGTGAAATGAGGTTGAATGATGATGAATGTCACTTGAATTCCTCTTAAGAAAACCTTATCCACAAACCCTTTAATTTCGCAAGCAAAATTTGATTTACTTAAACACATTAGGCAACTTGAATGAATACTAACCAATCAATTAATCCAGATCAATTATTCCAATTCAATCTCAATTCAAAGACAACTTGAATTGTGAAAAACAAGTAATGATGATGAGAACCAAAATTGCCTTAATCTTAATGAGCCCACAAGTTCATCTCCCATGCCATTACTTGTACTTGTATTTCACCCCAGCACAATAAAAATGCATTGAAGAGTCTTTGAAACTGAAAATGATACTTGGAGCAGAGGAAAACACCTCTGATAAACCTTAATTGAATTAATAAGCGCAAGCACCAAGGATAAGAACCCTAATCCTCTTGAGATGCATTTAAGATGTTGAGAAGTCGCAAGCCTTAGCTTACAAGGTATTTATTTGAGGTATTGATGAAAATCCCTGCATTAACAAGTCACTACCCTTTTATGGAGAACTTGATGATCTTTGTAGCTTGATGAGAATAAAACTCTCAATGATTATGAACACAAAAAACCTAGCCCCACAAACCATAATTGACGATGGGAGCAGTTGATTTTTCGGGTGAAGATGAGAGCCTAAAAGCACAGAGAAAACCCTAACTTTAAGATCCTTGTTCCCATACCAAGTTGCATTTTGTGTTAGATGTCCTAAATGGATAGTATGTACATGATATTTATGGGAGATATATAAGCCTGATAAAAGTAAAAGGGTAGGACAAATATGGGGTATTACATTAAGGCTGATTGATTGCAACCTAGAGGAACTGAGTTCGATCCCTGGCCCTTATCCTTTTTAGATTTAAGTTTATTTATTCTTATTTTACCCAAAAATTCACAAGAAAAATACCAAAAATATTAGATTAGAATTTTTATTTTCTTTTGATTATTTCTTTACTAAAAATTAAAAATTTATTAGAATATAGTAGTATTGGAATTTTTTATTTCCTTTTTAGAATTCCTCCATTTTGGAATTCATAATAATTTAGAATTAGGTTTTAATATTTATTTTCACCAAAAAAAATCATAAAAATATTATAGTATTATTTTCTTTTATTTACTTGATAAAAATCATTAAAAATGTTAAGAACTTAATTTCTTTGTTTTTGTTTGATTACTTGGTTAATCTTGATTACATGTTCCCTTAAGTGATACCCCGAATCAATTAAATTCATGTTGATTGTTTCATGTTGAATTAAACATTAGGATAAAACTTTGAATGATAACTTTAGGATAGAATTTCCCTTTTACACTCAACATTAGGTCCATCTTTGTACATGACAATATTAGGGTTTCAGTTTCCCATAGATTTTTTCTTTTCTTTTGTAAATTAAAACAAAAATTTCTTTCCTTGATCAAAAAAACCAAAAACACTTAATCATTATTCAAACTCATTCATACTTAACAAAAACACTCAACAAATCAAAGATCTCCTCAAAAGGGCATGTTATCTCCGTTCTACCGCGATACCGTCCATGTCTATTTCTAGAATGCACGCGTTAATGTCACCCACTAAAAAAACACCAACAAACCAACATTTTCTAGAAGAAATACAGTGTTCTAATTCCTTCACGGGATATGTAGACAAAGGGTTGCGAGACCTTCATGAACACACTAATAAAAAAATCCATTTCATTCCCCTTAGCAAGTATATTTATAGATAGACACACCCTTAGAAGCAAACAATCAAAATGGACCCCGTTGAGTAAAACGGATGTGAGGGGTGATAATACCTTCCCCTTGCATAATCACCTTCCGTACCCTCTCTTCTAGTCGCAATACCATCTTATCTATCCTCTTGGGGTTTTCTAAATATTTCCCCTTCCTTCGGGATGAATAAAGTTTGGTGGTAGCTCTGTGTTTTTTTCCGGTAGCTTCAGCTGGTGACTCTGCTGGGAATCTAATGCAAGTCTATCCTAGTTTTGTTTGTTCTCTTCTTTGGGTGTTTATTTATTTACTTTATTTGTTTTACCTCTTTATTTCTTTATTGATTTCTTTTGTATATATTGCATTATACTGTTGCTACTCACATATTCTGGATATGTGTTGCACCCCAAAATTTGCCCTCCTAATTTCTTTTATTTGGCTTTGGCTTAGCGTCACATTCACATCTTTTCATGAGGTTGCTAACATAGAATACATTTGGTTCAATAAAGTACCATGGGTTCAAAGGACTAGTGAAGTAGAAATATCAGGGTTTTATAGTGATTAGTCATGCATATCAAATAAAGGTCGGTTTCTTCTGATTCTCCTGGCTAGTCTTCTATAAGGGGCAAAGTGTGGAGTTAGGGTTTGGTTGTTCATTGGTTCCATATTCACTATGAACGATTATCCTATCAATTAAGACTCAGTGGATTATAGTTTCATCTCATGGGCTATCTCGAGCATCCTTCGAGTCTTATTCCCTCAACATCTCGAATGCACCTTAAGTGGATTAGGGTTCATGTCCGTAGTGTTGGCACTGGTTAATTCAATTAAAGGTTCATTATGCTCCATGCATCATTATTTTAATACTTGTATCTTGAGGTTAAATTGAGTTTGAAGTTAGAAACTTTAGTAAGAAGGCAGGTTGATTTGGTTTTTTTGCTCATTAAAAATTGAATTCATTTTGAATCCATTGTGGCGAGATGTTCATTCATGTGGGCTATGAATTCATTGTTACCAAGCGATCAATTGGTATGATCCAAGATTTTGGTTTATGGATTCTCTATGGCATCAAAATTGATTCGTCAAGAATCAATACAATGGGTGCATTAAGATTTTTCTTGAGGATCCACATTTCATCAAATCAAGGTGCATCTGTGGCTTGGACTATAAAATGTAGGCCGTGGTCTTGGCGCAAGGAGAATATAATCTGAATTCAACTAACCGCAACATAATCAATTAAGGTTTTGAGTTTTTTATTCAAAGAGGTGTATTTGGCTTGGAGTGCAAGGTGTGGACAATATGAACTTCAACATTGAATCCGATTTTTCTATGAAATTCAAGCACGACGTAACATTTGATTAAGATCCAAGTATTGATTCAAGATATTGTTTTGAGTTATAAGGAAAGTGTCATGGTTAGTGCAAGTATTGGATTCATTTTCCTTTTGAGAACATAAAGCCAAGATTTTTATTGATAATATTATTTCAAGCATGTAATTGGAGTTCAACTATGGTGGAACTATGAAAGGTACATAACTTGATTCGAACATCATGGAATTCATCATTCAAGTATTGATTCGAGTCCATTCAAATAATCAAACATCAATTAAGGTTCTAAACAAGGTTCTTCAAATCCCATTCAAAAGACATATGAATCCATTCAAGTGCATTTCATTCACTCGAGTTCAAATACAAGCTCAAGGTATCATGTAGCTTATTACAAAGTCATGCTTAAACCAACTTACTATCATTCAAGATTTGAAATAGTTTAAAGTTTGGAAAAGAAAAGAAGCTCATACTAGAAAGTGAAGATGGAACAAATTTGCTTACAAGACAATACAAGGTTTATCCTATTACAAGTACAAGGTGCCATTACATGCTTGAAGCATACAAAAAGAAATAATTACAAGGCATTTGGTTCTATGTTTCTAAGCCTAAAGTTTTAAATTCTTAAGGCCACAACTCCATTCTTTCACCAAACTGTGCATCTAATGCTTCTTACCAGTCTTTATCAGCATACCTGGGCTTCAATGGAAGGAAACCCGATGGCCTGGTTAGCACTTCTGTTTCTGTTGAAGAGTTTCCTAAGGCAGATGAAAATATCAAGATTGAAAAAATAATGATTCCAATAAAGATAACCAACTCAATCAGACGAGACTTTGTGGAATTTGTCAAGGATAGCCATAAGATTCTAGCAAATAATAAATAGAAGTACAACTAGTTCGGTTCACAAAAAAACTGCATCAGGGAAAATTTAGAGTTAATTCAGAAACTGTATCAAAACAACACCATTCCAATCATGTAAACCAATTGCATACCAGTAGTTCAGTTCCAATTCAGAAATCCAGTCCTTACCTAAAACCCTCACATCTTCTTGTTTAGCTTCAACATAAATCAGAAAATACGAAAGCAGTATATTAGAAAATCAGGAAATGCTTCAGACTAGATGAAATTGAATTCACAACAAACCTGTATTCAACCCAACTGACAATTAGACTCAACCGACCCTGCATACAATTGCTAAAGTCATGCCAAAGTGGTTCCAAGCCTACAACGAACTTGAATCCAAATACGGCAGCCCTGCTATGTCCACAAACACAATAAACAACTCAGTTCCACAATCCATAATTTTGAAACGATAAAACTGTAAATCAGCCTGCATTTTGTTCATACCAGAAATCAGAAAACAACGAAAATAGCAGAAAGTCAAGAATTAATGGCTAACTGCACTCACTAACAGAAAATCAGGAAAACAATAACAAAACTCATAGTTTTCCAGCTCACCATCAATTAACAGAAAACCTTCCTAGCTAACTGCCATAACAGAATTCCGTAAACCGGCTAACTCAGTAACAAAAATAAACGACCATCTCATCAACATATAACTAACTCAAAAATCAGAACAAATCTTGACCATTTAGTTTATAACAGAAATCCTCTAACTTAACTTTAAAAGAGTCAATAACTAACTACTAACAATTTAACACATCTCTAACCAATTTCTAACTAACCTTTCCTAACATACTCTAACAAAATCTAACTGTCCTAACAGAATATAAAACAAACAAAAAACTCACTTTGTAGGGGATTAATTTTTTTTCAACGGGCAGAAGAATAAAAAATTCTCTCCTTCCTCTCCCAAACTTTACTCTCCATCTACTTCATCATTCCTTGAATCACCAGAAAAAAGATCTCTCCAAATTTCTGCTTCCACTCTCCAATTCCGAAAGGAATCACTTTTCAATTCTCTCTTCAATTCTATCTTCCATAATCTACCTTCACCTTCAACCTTCAGCTTCTCTTCATTCTTCAACTTTAACCTTCAACTTCAACCTTCAGCTTCTCTTCATTCTTCAACTTCTACCTTCAACTTCAACCTTCAGCTTCTCTTCGTTCTTCAACTTCCAGCTTCACCTTCACCTTCAACCTCAGCAATCCTTCACCTTCTCCAAATCTCTAAAAATTCATCACATCTTCATCGCATCATCAACACCATTTTTTTCTGCATAGCAAGAACTCTACATTTTTCACAATTTGACAACCGCTTCATCACACACAAGCAATAATAATCCCTACGCGTCCTTCATTCAGGCTGCGATGAATCAACAATAGCGCACAATATCATAGATCCAACAACATAAAAATAGAAAGAGAAATTGAAGAAGAAGATCTACAAGATGTTTACCTAGATTTCACGTCGAAGGTTTTTTTTCCATATTTCTTGCATACTTGTCATCGTCAAAGAATCACCGGAGTTCTCCGGTAGGTAAGTGATATCCTTTTATTCATAGTTTTTCTTCACTGTGTGAATTGTGTGCATTTGTTTATGTTGTAATCGACTGAATCTGTTAAGAACTTTAAACCGATATTGAGTAGAAGAGGTGGTAGTAATGAGCGATGGTGATCGCGAGTTGTTGAAGCACGATAAATAAAAATCAAACGACACTGAGATCGTGATTGAGCTTGAACCACGAAGAAAGTGCAGATTCAGAGGTGAGATGAAAAGGTATGGGTTGGAACCACGGTGGCGAAGCGGATCGGCGTTGAGAAGAAGAATGTCGCCGCAGATTGCAAATCGGATTTGAGTTTTGTGAAGAAGAGGATGAGTTGAATTGCCACACAATTTCTCAACCCTATCCAAGCTCTCCAATATGCAGCATTTCAGGCTCCTCTTCTTATTTTCCTTTTTTTAATTAATTCTTTTTTTTGTGTTAATAAAAAAAAAGAGGTGAAGGATAAGTATGCTGATTAATAATGTGATGATGAATTGGGCTGGGTGATTATCTATACCGAATCCTTCCCTTTGAGGTCCATTACATTTTTTTTGGAAGCCAATTGTTGAAGCACAACAAAAAGACTCTCCTGGGCTCAATCTGCATGGGCCTAACACCTTTGTTGTTGGTTTCACACTAATATCCAGTTATATACCCCTATGTAGTAGTTTATACTAATTGTTTTGAGTCACTTTTTTTTCTTTCCAATAATTTCAGTAGATTTTGTTGATAAAAATACGAATAAAAAATAGTAGAGTATTGTAGAATTTTTTCTAGAATTTCTTTTAGAATTTTGTTTAGAATTTTCTATAATCTATTATGTTTAGTAATCATTTTGCCCGATCTTGTGATTCACCTCTGCTTGTTGAGATTTGAGTCTTATGCAGGTTCATTGTGCGATATGCGAATATGCTCGAGATTTCAATTGTGATTTATTTTCACATCGATGGTGCTTCGACATTTATCTTGAGCATTTAATTTCAGACTCTTTTCTTTGATTGGTGAAGCTTACTAAAAGTTTTTCGGGTTTCTCTACTTTGCTTGCCATGCTACGAACTTTAGTTCGTTTGGTATTTTCTCTTGTTTATCTCATTTCGCACTTTACTGCTTTCTAGATATCATGATAAGTAGTAAATAAAGAGCGTGCACTCGAAGTCGCTGTTTAAAGACCTGTAGCAGGAATTCTGCACTTCATTTGTTATATGTGTTGTGCTTGTGTTTGTTTCCTTGGTTGTTGATCGATGAGTCACTCAATTTAGAAATTGAGATCACGAATTCGCTCTCAGTGCATGCCCCCTATAGGATTTCATCGCTTTCCTTTATTTCTTGTTGATCGATGAGTCACTCAATTTAGAAATTGAGATCACGACTTCGCTCTCTTTGCATGTTCCCCATAGGATAATTTTGTTAGACTTTTTTTGGTATGCTAGCCTAGGTAGAATCTCTCTAGTTGTGCTCTCTTGAGCTTATTGGCTTGCTTGTTTGATTTCATCTTTGTGTGCATGTTTTGAGATAATATGCCATCGGCATGTTCCCTTAGGAGCTCTCAATTCAACTATAGATGATGATTCGAGATAGACATAGTTTTAGGTGATAGGCCCTTGCTATGCTCCTTTAGAACTTCTTGATTCATATATAGATGATGATTTGAGATAGACATTAGGATTTTTATCCAAGCATGTCAACATAAGGTAGAGATTTCCCTTCAAAACTCAATTGTAGGATCAATCATTGCATGATAACATTAGGGATAGATATAGGCTAGTCTCCCTTAGATGTTTTCTTCCCATTTTTGGCATAAGTGCATTTAAAACAAAAACTCTTTTCTTGAAAAAGCACAAAGCATATAACAACTTCCAAATCCTTCTTAAAGGTGAAATCTCTCAATTAATGCAAACTCTTTTGCGCCTTCAGGCTTTTCTTTTAAACTTTTTTTCAAAAGAACATGTTAATTCACTTCTGTGTTGTCGCGTAAATCTCCAAAGGTTGAGTTGTGGCAGAAGGCAAAATTAATATTGTTCATTAAAAGATACAAACAAACAAAAACTTGTGAGCTGAACTACAAATGCTCTGATTCCTTAAAAGGGATACATAGGCATTGGGGTAGGGCCTGAACGAGCACAACTTTCATTTTCCCTACATTATTTTCTCTTTTCTTCTTGCATGCATTCCCCCTTTGCATTTTATTTTAGCTATTAAGTTTATATTTTAAGACACCCATAATATTAGAGCAACAAGAGTGGATACCATAGAGTACTACGGGCGTGTGGGGTGCTAATACCTTCCCTTCGCGTAACAAACTCCCTTACCCGATCTCTCGGTCGTTTGATTGTGATTTCACCCTTCTCAGGTTTACTCAATATTTACCTTTCCCTTCTAATGGGATAAAAAACGTTCCATGGAGAATTTATTGATTTCATTATCAGTTGATTATTCAGCCGGTTGTTTCAGCTGGCGACTTCACTCGAGAGAGATTGACCTATTATTGGTCCATCCCGGAGTCGATCCTAGCTCTTGTTTGTTTACTTCTTTGGGTGTTTATTTATTTCCAATTATTTACAGCTTCATATACATTGCTTGCATATGTTTGTGCATGCATTTTATTGCTTTACATATTGGTTATTTGTTGTGCTGGATCTGTTTCCATGTTGGGTGGATGTTACAAGAGGTAAAAGGCCCAATACCCAGGCCAAGTGAAAACCACATGAGCACTAGGAATAGAATGGAACACAACGGATAGGGGGTGTAGATCACCCTAGACGGTTGTGTCGTCAATGCTCAGATGAGGTTTTAATGAGGTGCTATTGTTATCACGTAGGTGTACGATGATAATGCTCTCAAGCAAACCTATGATTTTGAGTTACCTTTGCTTACCTTAACCTATTTTTCACCCGTGAGTGGGGAGGGACTTGATTATTACAAGTACAGATGGTGACTATGTTCTTATGGTGATTGTTTCATTCTTTCGGTGACTATGGTTCTTTGGTTATGTTCTGGATCTTTGATACTGATATATTCAACTTAGCCAGAGATTATACAAAGGTTATGCATGGTACTTGGTTCCATTGTGTTTTGAAATTGGTGCCAAACCTTTGATCCTGTGATATCCAGATTATCCAACAGATTTATACAACAGTTATCCAGAGGATTGTACAGTTGCTATGCTGAACTCTTGAACCTATGGTTTTGCACTTGCATCATAACATATTTACCTTTTATAAAAGAAATGTGTAAAAAAATGTATGCATGAAAAAGTTAACACACACGTTCTTCCTATTTCTAAGGAATCGTGCTTGTGAACATTATGTTATATTTTTCCATCTCTCACTGGATCAAAATTGAAATTAAAAGCATGTGGGTTCCTCGAAAATGATTGAGCATGGCACTGCATCCACTCATTCACCTCATGCAACTTAACGCATTCATAACAGGTACT